GATGCACGAAAAATGTAAGAAGCTGATTTCAAAGTATAGAAATGTATCCAAACATGTTAAAGTCATGAAGCCTAGTTCGCCAAATCTACCAGGTAAGTAACAGTGATGGATAAATATCAGTAGAAAAAGGTCGGGAATCAGTGCTTTCAGTTATCAGCTACACATCACACTCCTCCTCTGCTCGAGCTGACACTGCGAGCTGTCGGACCTCACTGCCGTTTTACAGAAACACCACATCAGAGTGTATCTAGAGAGACTCACCAGGGAGACCAGGGGAGAGGCCGACATCCATCCAGTCTGTCAGCGAAGGAACATAAGACAGGAGGCCCGGAGAGAAAAGACCAAAAAAAAAAAAGAAGAAAAAGAGGAACCCTGTTGGATATTGGCCAAGTGATAAGTTACCTTGACCATGGCAGTCATTACACCATCAGAATTAAATGATAAGATTCCAATTACCTGCTAATTTAAACCATCGGTCAAATATGAGTAGTAAAGGATGGAAAAAAGGGGATTTCAAGTTGTAATAGCTTTCTGCAGGTGAAAAGGGAAATTGAGAAAATCTTGCAGATATTAAATAGGGTTGTGTAAATGACCTGCTTCCATGAAAAAAAAGCACCTTATCTGTGTCACATTAATGCTATAAGGCATTTCTGCTCCATCTCACTGACATGACAAATGAAAAATCTCATTTGAAGAACTCCCGCTATTAACAACAAGCTCCTTTATTGTTGCAGTTTGTTTTTGGAGGCTAATCAAACCCTCGACGGGAACATTCATATGGCCTTACGCCGTCTCCAGCCCAACAATAGGGGTCTTGTCCTCTAATTAATCCGACTTGTCCCTCTGCTAAACAGTGGATCAGTTTGCAGGACTGCTGCATTATTCAGCGTAGCCTTGGGTGAGAGAGGAAGTCTGTGGTCTGGAGTCACCTTACTCTGGGCAAAGCAGCCAAGGCAAAGAGAGGGAGAAGGATGAGAGGCAGAAATGAAAGTAATGAAAGAGGAGTTGAGGGGAGAGGTATGATGAAAAGGGAAAAGGGGGAAGGAATAAGGTGAGAGTGTAAAAAAAAAAAAAAAGAGGGGTAGGATCAAATGGTCAGTGTGGTTCAAGGCGACGGGAACTGCAAAAAAGACCACATCCGCATGGGAAACCGCAGGTGGGTCAGACAGGCAGTCTATGTGCAGCTGTCAGTTCTCCGCTTCTGCTGACAAACCAATCGTACAAAAACCACACAGAACCTTTCAGCTGTGTGTGCACTTTTTGACAGAAAAATCCAATGATAGGTTGACAACAAGAAATATATTTTATTTCCCCTTGTTCTTTTATTGTTAATAGTTGTTATCCTTCAGAAGAAACCCCTTCCTGACCTTGATATACATCTGTTTTCTCCGCCTCTCATTAAATACACACCTCTGTCCCCCACAAATACAATGGTCAAAAACACAGTAGTCATGTACCGTTGGTTCATACAGAAAGAAAAATCAATGGTTCCTGTGTTGGCAGTTGCTGTCACTCAGAAAGCAGTCGTAATCATAAAAAGCTTTGGAATGGTAAAAGTACAATGCTCCCACACAGTCTGCTTGAAAAATACACTGGATGAAATGATGGATCAGGATACTTTGAAATCAATTAGATGGAATGCAAAGCGTACAATGGATTCATACATGCTTTGATGACCTGTTTTACTCGGACTGCTTTGAAGAACACTCGCGTACGGAAGACCATTTCTGACAGCGTGATGTAAATTCTGTAAGTCATCAAAGGGAGAAACTCTTCTGAAATAATCACTTAGTGTCTTGAAATAACTGGAAATATTCTCAAAATAATGTGCTAGTAGCTAAAAAAATCAATTAACAGCTTTAATAATGAGTAGATACCATATTTAAGATTACTTCACATGTAAATTAACAAGCATCAAACATCAAAAATAATCACATTTATGGTGTTCAGTCCTTAAATTGCAAGTACTTGGATGTAAAGTGACAAACTCAGCACCGCTTTCATCTTCGGTATTGTACAGAAAGCTTTGTTGTCGGTCTTCCTAATATCTAACTGCACTTTTTGAGGATATTTTCTAGTTTGAAGTCACAGCATCTATAAAATGTAGATAATCTCGGATACAAGGGACTCTCCCTGTGTGAGTTCTCACCGGGTTCTCCGGCTTCCTCCCACAACATGCTCAGGTTAACTGGTGATTCTAAATTGTCTGTAGTTATGAATGTGAGTGTGATTTGTTGTCTGTCCTTTTGTTTAGCCCTGTGATAGACTGGCGACCTGCCTATCGGTATAGATAATGGATGGATGGGTGGATTATCCGCAGATACTACTTATTATTTTGAGATTCCAAGTCATTATTTTGAGAAAGTTTCTCATTATTTTTAGATGCTAAGTCTGTATTTTGAGAAGTTTTAATGAGTCATAGTATCTGGTTAGTTGTTTTTGTTTGTTTGTTTGTTTTTGTTTTCATCACTTTGGCAGAAATGGGCTTCCATACCAGGAGACTCAGTTCATACTCGGTTGTTAAAAGTTCTTTCAAAAAACTCACATAATGGTCATTTACAGCACATTCAGCTTTGCGGTTATGTAGTGGTTACTTACTGTACGACTTTACTCTGGGCAAACATATAGTATATTATTCACATAGTATTCACATAACATAATATACATCTGTATGTACACATTTCTTCCACCCTTGTGTTTCCAGGCACTTCCTTCAGCTAACCTTTGTCAGATCACTGACGACTCTGTAGCTACCTCATTCTACATCCTCATCAAACACAAGCTGAATCTGCGAGAGCCTGGTAATGTTGGTATACTGTTAGATACCTCGTATTCTGGCACTCCCACCTGAATCAGGCTGTGAGCTGCAAAGCAGCAGCAGAGTTCATCTAGCTGCCATTTCTCAGCTTCTGTGGGCTTCAAGGTGTCTCTCCTTATTTATTAGGGCAGGTCCTGGAGTGATACCTTTAAAACCCTCCTTGAAAAACTGCATTTAAAGGAGTTTCAGGAGATATGGTGGTGCATAACATATTTTTAAGGGTAATGATGGAGTGGAGAAGAGATATTTTTTTGTGGTTCTGGAACAAAATGCTAAAAAAAAAAAAAAAAAAAAATACAAAGAAAATTGCTTCCTCTCTGTGTGATGGGGGTGTTTCAAAGGTGACTCAGATCATTATGTGTATCACACATTCCAGCCTGACATAGTTTCTTCCATTGATTCAGGCATAAAGAGTTCCAGTGATCTCCAGGCATTGGCCAGTAGCTGAAAAACAGGGGATTTTGTTTGTCCGTCAAAGTGTGTTGACTTTAAACAGCAGGCTCTGTGACCGACTGTTTCTTACTATTCCTTCCTTTTAATTTACCATTTTAGTTTAAAAAAAAAAAAAAAAGTGAAATGTGAAAACATCAACATGTCCAGCAGTGAACTATAGCAATTTTCCCCTCTGCACAACCTTAATGCCCCTTTTTCTTTTATATATATTTGTTTATTTTACACCACTAGGAACAACAACTAACTCCATGTCAAAATCGTCAAAATAAGCCCCCCCTAGCAGAAAGGGTTGCAATAAAACTCAAAACCGACTTGATTCAACAGTTTTACAGTACAACCAAAATGCCTCAGACAACGAAGGAGTAAAAGAGCTACAGGCTCAGACCTGGAACGCAGCACTGGTTTAGACACTTCACCACAGCATTAATGGAACATCGTTTTTCACACCAACACTATGGCATCTCAGTACGGTTCTAACAGCTTCTTCCCCCCCTGCCTTCGCTCCTTTTTTCTCTCCCACTGGGTATAAAATACAAACAATCACTTTGGAGCAAAGAACATTAGCTGATGCAGTACATACTTTATGTTTGTAGGCATATATCAAGATGAAGCAGTAGAACAAAGTAAAGGATTCAAGTCAGTCAGTGGGATTGGCACTGTGACAGTAATGAGACAGGAATCACCCGTGGTGGCACCAGGCCCACTGCTGTGATCCCTGGAAACGCCCACCTATAGCACACATGGTAATCCAGCACAAACATTATGGCAAAAATACAACACATTGCACTACTGTACAGTTTCTGCATCGATACTGTTGGATACTGGGCTGGTCTATCCTAATGCTGTAGGTCTCTTAAAAATGTTTGTACACCAGTATGACGACCTTTTGGATTTATTCAGCGGTTTGAATAAAATTTGTCCTATCATCGGAGAATAAGGCAGTTTATGGTATGGTAGATACGTCGTGCCACAACCACAGTGGACTGCTGTTGTATGTAGCTCTTAAGAGGGAAGAAAACGCTTCCACGTTTGGATAACGCTGGAATTTTACATCCAGTCTCCGCACTGTTTGAATGAAACGATGAAGCCAAGGTGACCCTTCCCTCAGAACAGACGGGTCCGTTTCGTAGCTCGCAATATTTCTTTTTTCTTTTTTTTTTGCTGCTACCCTCAGCACAAAAAGAGATTTTAGTCCAAGAGGCAAAGAGGAACAAGAAAAACACAAAAAAATATCAAAAGAGATAAACATCACCAACAAGGAGGAAATCACAGCTGTACATTAAAGGTGAAAAGTTAGAACCTTGACCATGGTTTTTTTCTTTTTTTTTTTTTTTTTTTTCTCCTTCCTTTCCTTTCCTCTCTCCTTCCTTTGCAGTCTTTTCAAAGCCAAGTCCACAGGTCCAAACATCAAAGGAGAGGAGGGTCGCTGGGTGGCCTTAAATCGAATCTCCAGCGCTCGGGATCCTGCTGTTGTGGTAAACTTTTAGTTGCTATCTGCCCTCAAAGCAGTCCAAGTACTCCAGGACAAGGTCATAGCAAAATCGATACTGGTCCTGAAGAAAAATACAATATTCTCGAATTAGAAAGTGAAAACAGGAAAATACATTCTGTCCGTTCAAACACACACACACACACACATTTCTTCATTTATTTATTTACAGATTTTCCTACCAGAGACTCCACCATGTTGGGTTTGCAGTTGCGTAGAGTTTTGACAGCGTAGAAGATGTCCACCATGTTCTGGTACTGGATCATCTCGAGGAGGATGTTGCAGGCACAGAAGGTCCCACTTCGACCACCACCGTTGCTGTTAAGGAAGAATAGGTGGTTTTAAAATCTTCGATAATAAGAGGCGTAAAATATATGGATTTGTTGACATCTTCTGCATCAGTCTGTTTTCTATTGCACACATTTTGCATTCTCTCACATTTACCTTTTAAATTCTATTACATTCCTTCACAATGTTTTTTTTTTTTTGCTTTTCCCCCTGATCAATATGAACACTCGCTGTGCCGGTCCAGTCCAATTATGATACGCTGCCAGTTTAGAGAAACGCTCTGCAGGTACCGCACAAAGAAGAAATGATGCAACACTTGAGCCCGATTCTCAGCCCTCCTTTTTTTTTTTAAAAAAAAAAGGCAGAGCTGCAACAGAACGGCGCCACTGTCTGTGAGCACAGCTTCCCTGCTTGGCTGTGCTGGGCGAGGCTGTGCTTGTGGACTTTGGCTGCATTTTGTAGTTGAATTTATGGTGCCACGGATGAGTTCAGCTGTATATTGAAAGTACCCTTTGCTAATGTTGCACAATAATACCGATACTAGATAAGTATCCCAACACACGACCGTTAAAAACAATCCTATACCTCATTTTATTAGTATCGCTACTTGACAGCGTTTTAAGAGAAGCAATATTTCCTTTGAGGTTCTTGCTGTGCAGCAGTAAGACTGTGTGTGTGTGTGTGTGTGTGTGTGTGTGTGTGTGTGTGTGCAGCTTTCTACTTCCACTCCCTGCAGGCTTAGTGGGTGTGCCAAAGGCTTCTTTTTTTTCTCTCACAAGCTTTCATGGTGACAAAATGAGAGTCCAAGGATTGTTGCGCAAAGCAGAATATGACATTATTTCGCTCACAGACGACATCGAGGGTGAGCCCACGAACCCCGGAGTGTGTGACTGTGAAAGAGGTTTTCCCTGTTCAGACTGAGGAAGCCGACACCTTTGCAGACTTGTTCAAAGGATTCAGAGGGGCGACAGGTTTATTTTTTTTCTTTAGCTACTTTACCAGCACGGCAAACACACAATAAACACATCGGTTCAGTCATCTATTATTCTGTTCGTTCTCCTGATGTTGTAGTTGTATTGTTTCAGTATCGGTGTTGATATATTTCTAGGCTACTCTTTACTGGCCAAGAAAACATCACTGTTTCACGCATCATAATGCACCACAGGACTTCAACACAACGAGCATGTCAATTCACTGGACACACAAGACTGTTGCATGTAATTAGTGTTAGATGCATTACAGACTAATGTGTCACAGTCATAATCGTGACAACCAAAGCACAGTCATGGCTATAGACACAATCACAGTGACAGGCCATGTCATTCCATGGCGACCGTCATGATCACAGCTGCAGTCTGTCTCGATTAGTCTCAGCAGCTGTCGGCGAGAGAAACTGCGAGAACCGGCACCTCGATTTATCTTTCTTTCTGCAATCGCGCAGACTTGTGCAGGAGCCCCTGCTGTGGTCACAATAAATAATAGATAAAACTTACTTATGTAATGAAATAATATTGTGAGGGAATGCAAAACCTAATAGATGGGGAAGGATTTTCTTTTAAAACTGGAGGCTGCATGTACATATATATATACATAGGAGCAGGCTCAGGTGAATGTAAAGTTGGTTTTAAGTGTCTTTGATGAAAAATGAGAAAATTATTGATAACAAAGAACTGTCACGGCTCACGCGAACCTATTAAATAATTTAACAAACTGCATGCAATGAGAAGAGCCCAAGGTTACATTCAATGTGCTTGAAAAGTCTATTGAACATGAGAAAGTAAAAAAAAAAAAGACTCCCTTGTATTGCACTTCAATGCATAAAGTGAGTTTGATTTCACTGACAAGTAGTTTTTGTCCTTTAATGCTTGCCATACTCGTGGCTCGTAGGTTAACGCTGTCTATTTCAGTAAATAAGAGATATGGTGCCATCACAGACTGACTTCTTATCAACAGATGTGATGAGCGACGGGTGGATCTGACTGAGAACTCAAGGACACGACGCACACTCACACAGGAGTGACACAAATCACAAGGCAGCCACCTCCTGAAGCATACCCTTAATTGCTTAATTGTTTATTTTTCTCTAACTATAATTAACAAAGTGAACACCATGCTGTGTTGAAGACGAATTGAAACCAATTATTAAGACCATAAACCAAATGAAAAAATGTTTATTGACACAACAAATCAAGTAAGTAATCGGGACATTTTCTCATAGACTTCCAGGAAATCTGACTTCTTTTGGCAACCAGAGGAGTCGCCTCCTGCTGGCTGTGAGAGTTAGTGCGGGCTTTCGGCAGATCCAAATTATCTTCAATTTTCAGACCCAGATGTCCATCCATCCATCCATTATCTATACACCGCTTAATCCTCATTAGGGTCATGGGGGGCTGGAGTTTATCCCAGCTGACTTAGGGTGAAGGCAGGAGACACCCTGGACAAGTCGCCAGTCTATCACAGGGCTACACTTAGAGACAGACAACCAAGCACACTCACATTCACACCTACAGACAATTTGGAATCACCAATTAACCTCAACATGTTTTTGGACTGTGTGGGAGGAAGCCGGAGAGAACCCGGAGAGAACCCACGCTGCACGGGGAGAACATGGAGACTCCACGCAGAAAGATTCCGGTGCCCGAACCGGCGACCTTCTTGCTGCGAGGCAACGGTGCTACCAACTGCGCCACCCTGCAGCCCTACCCAGATGTCTTTTTTTTTATATACAAAATCTATGGTTTCCATCAAATTTTATACTGAATTTATACAAAGACTCATACAGGCAGTGAAGCCCTCTGCTTTGTGGTAGATTGCCGGCCATTAGGAGCACTTTTCTCCCATAATGAGGTCGACATTTCTGATTTTGATTCAGAATAAAATGTATTTACTTTTTTGAGTCCACATTTACATAGCGTCTTTTAATCTTAGCAAAGGAAGTGCTTCTCTGTCACCAATCCACACAAACACACTCACAGCAGTGATGGCAGAACTGCAAGCCTCTGACCTGCTACTGTGAGCAACTCGGGCTCGAGTGTCTTGCCCGAGACAAATGGAGGATTGAACCGACAACCTTGTCATTACTGGATACCTCACTCTGCTACCTGAGCCACGTCCACCCCGCTGTCAATATTGTTTTTTTTTAATGACCAATTCATTCGGTAAGACTGAACACTAGCAGCAGTTACAGCAGGCACAGCTTTGTGTTTAATCTGTTTTTCAAAGTACATAAATATTAGCAAGCTGCCACATGATCAGCAAATATCACCTACTGAACACGAGCATCTTAGCATCACCTCTAGGCAAAGTTGTGCTCTGTCTCACTGATGCACCAGCACATCTGTAGACGTCTTGATGTTTATTTAATACATTAAAATCATTCCCTACGTTGCCCTCTATTCATTTAAGATTTGCTTCTTGACTGTCATTCAATTCTATCTTTCTGCACCGTATGTACAAGTGTATTTCCCCTTCAGTGGGAATATGCCTCCCAGTATGTTTAACTGACTTCTGGAAGACAATAGCAGAGTGTCGGCACCATATGTGTAATCTGACAACCCTGTTTTTGTGTTGATGCTACCTCACAGAGAATACAGCACGGACACAGTATGAAAGGACATAAAAACGGAGATAAGAGAAACACCGAAAGCATCCAAAAAGATTGAGAAATAACAGCACAGCGTTGGATCCTTGTAAAATACTGTCCTGGTCATCATAAATGAAAGGCGATATCAATAAGCTACTGGAGGACAATCCACTTCCTCTCTCCTGAGACGAACGCAGCGAAGGTGGGGGGGAGGCGTGGAAGACTCTGCAGCGTACACAAGCAATATTAAGGTAATCAATCGTCGTCAGTGCTCTGGCAGTCCTGGATTTAGTGTAGTGAGAACCATCGCATTCTGTATTAAGCCATAATTGATTTGATCTCCATAATCTCTTTCCTGGTTGTCGTGGGTAACACTGTGTGACAGCACTGACTGATGTGCTTTTGGATGGGGGCGGTGGGGATGAACGTGTGACGGGTTGGCAATGAGCTGGACGGCCCATTCATATTCATCAGCGGGGTGTGTGCACTCCGGGGGCTCAGGACAACAGAGGAGCACACACCACCACCACCAGCACCACCACCACAGAGTGCACTACGCCCCGGCACAGCACATTACCCCACCATTTGATTTTTCTACATTTTTAAAATACTGCCATGATAAATTGCTTCTCATTGCACCGACTCACACATAAAAACCACAGAGACGAGGCACGACACTGTCTCCCATCAAAGTGATTTGCTCATGAATTGCCGTGTTTTTACAGACATTTTTGTGATACTCCCCTCTGTGAATAAGCCTTAGGTTTTAAATGCACTTTTAAATGTCACTCTTCAACAGCAGCAAATTGCTGCCTAAGACCTTTTCAGAAAGAGACTGAATGTATTTCCGCCTTGTCTCCTGTTTTTTTTTTTTTTTCCTTTAATTTACAATACACGATGCATGTCGCTGAGAGATTACTCACAGGCAGTGCACAACAGTGCGTCCTTCTCCACACTCCCTTTGCCACTTGTGCACTTGAGCCAGCAGGTTGAGGAAAGCCTTCTTGGAGTCGGGAACGTCGCGATATGCCGACCAGCGCAGGAACTGGAACTGACACACCACCAGCTGGCCCTCTTGGAGCTACGGATGCAACAGAAAACATAAAACACATGTCTGAGTGTGCCGCTCTGTGTTGGTGTACAGTCGTGCGTTGTATTTAATTTTCCGGTTGTTTCAGTGTTTCTGCGCGTGCCAGTTAACGCCCGGTTTTGAGAGCTCCCCCGGCAGCGAGCTGGCACTCTCGGCTGTGCTCACTCAGCAGGCTGACTTTGAGATATATGGGTTTGTAGGTGTAAGTGGGGCCCGAGCTGTGTGTGAAACAGGTCCCTGTGTGTTCATAACCTTGTCCTGTAGAATCTCACCTAATACTTAAGGACCAGTGGAGAACTGTAAGTCATGCAAATTGGGTTGGCAAAGACACCAACGATGCATGGAGGAATTGCCTCAGCGGAGGTGGGATTTACACAATGTACTTTTTTTTTTTGGTACCACTCTCATACCCACACATACATATGCTTACAGTGCACTTCCTTTGACTTTTACTCCCTACCCTTGTATATCATTGTCAAGCACAGGGAATGTACACACTAATGCACTGAGAGAGAGGCCGGGGAGAGGGAGAGGTGTGTGTTATTTCTGTGTGATTTGATTCCTCCCATGCTGTGTTAAGTTGCCCTCTCCTTGACGGTGATGTGCACCGAGTAGAAAAAAAGGTGCCACAGGTAGAGAGGAGGAATGACAAGGGCGGTCGACAGAGGAGGTAAGGGTGCCAATCAAGGAAAAGGAAGTTCTGGGCAGTGAATGTCGCGCTGCCTGTAATGGCGAAGGAGAAACGCCTTGCATGCAGATTTCTTCAATAATTGCTTGACAGTGATGCTGAGCAGAATGCATGCATGCGCTTATGCAAATTGCGGAGCATAAAACATGCATGCGTACCTGCACACACACACACACACTCAACAAAGTGCGTGAAGTCAAAATGATCTATGAAAACATTTTTGGAGATTTTATTTTTTGTGCCCCATCTACTGCTCATGCCTTTATCTGACCTACTTCATGAGCTCTGCCTACTTTTTAAAATGTATGGCGTGGCGGTTTATGAACAAATTAACAGAAAATGAAGCTCGCAGCCTAAAAAGAACACACTGAACTGAAAATATGGCCGGCAATATGATGATGAAAGTTCCCTCTTTGGTATGCCAGCAGGCACCTTAGCAAGGGAAGACACCTATCTAAGTAATGACAAGAAGAAATTGAAAAAGGGAGCGACTGACCTTTATTACATGCATGTCAATAGGCTTCTCTCGCATGTTTTCCATAGAAAGAAATTTCTCCACATAATAATCACGCTTATGAGAATGTCTGATGGAAAAGCTGGTGTTCTGGTTCAATTTTCTGGACTGCTGAATATCAAAACAATGTCCTTTGTAGTATTTATAATATAGTTGATGAATACGTTTTTTTGTTTTTTTCTTAAAAAACTCATCTGCCATTGCGCTCAGTACGCATTTCCAGGCAATATTTTAGAGCGTATTTATTTGACGAACTCCTCCATCCCTTGAGGCGGGGACTGGAGAAGGGCTGCTGTGTGTGCATAACAAAGCAGTGACAAAGCAGAAGAACACACTGTGCAGAAATCCAGCATCAAGTGAAGCAATCGGCTTCAGTTTGCGCAGGATGTTGAACAGAAACTCAGATGTTAAGGCTGCAGGTACGTGGCCTGTAGTGCTTTGACTTGCGTCATGTTTTTAGATGCACATTACAGGTGACAGCTCTAAATGTACTGTAGGTAAAATGTCACATCTGAGCAACCGGTGAGGATCACAGCTAATGCATTTCTAATTAGGTTTCCTGTTATTTGTGAAATACCACTGAGTGGAACAACGCGTCCTGTGCAGGCTCTTTTGGCGTCAGAATGACTCACCCTTGTGACATTCTTGACCCGAAACAGGCGAGTAATGACATCCTCATCTGCTGACATGGACAAAAACTCCACTTCCATGGGTCCGTACTGCTGTAAACCAGGCTCCGGCCAGTATTGAACACATGGCTGCGTAGAAAACAGGGAAAAATGAGAGCGAACGCTTTATTAGCACCTGCAAAAATACATTTTTCAATCATTCTTTGCCGAAAACTTGCTTAAAACTTTGAATCGCCAAAGACGAGACAGCTGTGTGTGTTTAAGGGTGTTTCTATGCATGCAGGTGGGTCTGCAGTAATGACAGAAGTGGTGTCAGCGTGGGCCTGCATAGAGCAGGAGGTATTACGGCGCCACACTGGTGTTAATAAGTGAAGAGAAGCAGCATGGGAAGTGTGAGATGTAATGTGCTTTGAGAGATTGCAACAAGAGGGAGACAGAGTGCTCCAGTGCCACGAATGAACTCTATAACCGAGTTCATAACAAGATCTTGCAACGGACAACTTAAAGTGGCTATAACTCAATTTTCAGGCAAGACCCAAAAGGTCCGCGTTGCAGTGGAAGAAACGAGATGAAAACATTTAAAGGGGAGTGGATGAAAAGTGGGATTGAACCAGAGTAGCCACAATTTCTTTTTTTTCTTTTTTTACTGCCGGGCTACACGGGGTTTTAAAAAACAACACACAGAGCAGCCAATACAGAAGAGGTAAGCAGGTACCTTGCTTTTCTTGCACAGGATCCCCAAAGATTAAAGATTATTTATGAATATTTGAAAAATGTCTGTCAAAGCCCACATGTTGCACAAGACAAGAATAAAAGCAGTATTTAGAATAAAATAAGAACAGATAGAACAGGTGACTATAAGCTGTACATCACAAGGTTGAAGTGTTTCTTTCAACTTTTGCAGGCGAGCCACAAGAGTAATCACTGCAACAGCAGCATAAATCAGTATATGTGTAATTAGTTGTGTGATTTAATTAAATTCACGGCATCTTACAGAAATTCTCGACAGAAAACAAAATCCTCACAGAAGACGTGTCATATACGAAATTATGTCTTCACCAGAGAAGCGTCCTTGAAAACATTGAAAACCCTTAAGGAGTAATTTTACAATATTCCAAGGTAGAGCTTGGACTTTATTAATTAACTAAGACTAAGCACCTGCTCTCCAAGGCTGTGAAACAAATGTAATACATATTTCACACGATGAATCTTTAAATTTTGCCTAAAAAGCTTATAATCTTGCATTTATGCTTTTTTTAAAAAAAAAAAACAGAATCTGGACTTTATGTAAGCTATTATCTTCAATGCCTTTGGCTTTCTTCCAAGCAATCTTTGCAATTTGCTACTTATTCATAAACATATTAATTATACAGGTGTAAATACAAGGTAATATGAGATTATACTGAAGTATTTCCAACTGCCCTTGTAAAGGAATTGATAATAAGTTAATGAAAGCTGGTGTTACTTAATGCTGCTTGCTGGAAATGCCTACAATCAGTGCAGCGTTTGACATAATAGATTCAAATATTCTGACGCTGTCACCTGGGTTATCCTTGATTGGATTTTTTTGGGGATATTGTCTTGTGTCTGTCAGTGGTATTGGAGCCTTTCAGGTTGTGGTATCCCCTCAAAAACCATTTTAGAACCAATCTTATGCTCTCTTAATACCTTTTTCCTTCAGGCTACATTTATTGAACAGAACATCATTTCTTATTTCGCTCCACCGCCACACCGATGACGCCCAGTCGTACCTGTCCCACAAACTGAATTATTCAGCGCCATTGTTCTCTTTGCACAACTGTTTATCTGCCATTAAAGGCTGGATGTTGGCCAATCTCCTTCAGCTTAACTCCAGCGAAATGAAGATGTCTGAGCACGTCTGTAGTCGAGTGGTGCCAGCTTCTGGCTCTTCAACAGAGCATGTTGTCCCTTTTTTGCTCAAAATTTGGAAGTCACATTTGATCACAGCCTCGGTGTGGTCCGCTGTGAGCTCCTGTTTCTGCCACCTGAGAAATATCTTGGTGAATAAAATCATTTCTTTGCTTTAATGACACCCGAGTCTATTTTACATGGTTTCACTTCATTTATGCTTGATTACTACAATGATCCTTTCTTCTGTCTTAATGAGAAAATGGTGGAACAGTGACAAAAAGAAAAAAAAAATCCACCTAATGACGATACTTTGCGGCTCAGAATATACTCAAGGATCTATTGCTGACTTCTAAAGGCTTCTTCAATATGGCTGATGATTACCTGGTGGCACTTTTAAGTCCTTATTTATCAGCTTCAGTCACACTGAATAGCTTCCAATAGGGGCTCTTTACAATCTAATCTTAGAAATGAATTTGCTGCATTGTTCTCCTTATTCACTTTTAGCGTGTTATTGTGTTTCTGAGTAAAACCTGACCTTCAATCTTGTGTTATGTTTCCACTAATTATTATTGCTATTGTTGCCAAAAAAAAAAGAAGAATAGGGAATATTGCAGTACAGAGAAGAGGAATATGCTCGTGAGGAAAAGTGGGCCGGCAACAAAAAGAAAGCCTGCGATGTGGCTGGAGGGTAATGCAAGTCTATTCTTCAGAGATGTATCTTTGAGGAGGGAAAGGAAAAAACTGGGGCGGGTGTTATCTAGTCATGCCTTGAGATCAATGTGGTCAGGGATCAAAGCCCGACAAAATGGCATGAAGGAACTAATCCCAAGCACAGTAAGATACAGAAACATTGAAGGCAGGGTATGTCAGGAAAAGTCTCGAGTAAAGTTCATACAACCTCCAGACTGAAAATAAAAAACTTGCACAGCAAACAGTGTCTCCTGTGTGTGTGTCTATGGGTGTAAACTCACTGTAGTGTCAACAAATCAATGGCAATAAAACAGTATACAACACTTTGACCTCACCCAGGCAGAGTTTGACTGGTTGAGCTGGTTGAGCATGACCACTGCCGTGCAGCCGTAGTCGAAGACCAGCCTCCAAAAGTCCGCCGTGGTGCCCGGCAGAGGGTGAGGGGTCACAATGAACGCAGCCTGCCGGTGGAAGCTGTCAGCGAGAGCGGCGTTGATGTAATTGTTGCTCTCCCCTTCGGTTGTAACCAGGAAGGCCAGGGCGCGGTCGGGCGGCAGAACGTCCATGCTGCGGTTCTTCTCCCGGTTCCTGGGCAACAGAGCAATGCTGCACTCTTCCACGTCCAGATGGGGAGTCACGGAGTTGAGCGTCTGCAAATGGGAATGTTAAAGAGGTGAGGTTAGAGCGAGGTGAGGACAGAGTGGAAATTCAAGAGAGCGTTTAAAAGATGGAACGTGTGAGGGGTGGTGAGATGCTAGGGAGGAGGAGGAGGAGGAGGAGGAGGAGGAAGGGAATCAGACAGGAGAAGGAGGAAGTGCTGGGATGTCAAAAATCCAATAATCTTAATCCAAAGGATTTTTAATACTACGAAATATTCCGCTGACAAACTGACTTAAAAGAATGAAAAGACAAATTGGGTCACGGCATAATAAGGCTGAATGTAATGAACTTAGATTTCTTTTTAAATAAAAGCTCAAAAGGAAATATTGCATACCAATTTTCCATGATGAACGCTCTGTTCATTTAGCCGTAATTACATTAGACATTGTGAAAAAATATTCAGATCATTAATACACAGCATCAATAATAGATCTGTGCCTTGCTGATCTCGGTACTACCGGTTTGGCTGTTTGCCGTCTGCAGGATGACAGAGTAAAAAAAAGCAAACACAGAGCTCATTGGGTGGCGCGCAGGCTTTCAACATCAATGTCAGACAGATAAGTTTACACAGATCAAAGCCACGCATTTTCCTTTATGACCAAGTTTGTAATCAGAGTGTTGTACCACCTACTGTACCGCTCCCCCGATCCCAAACAATACATCAGTCACCGTTCCCGCAAAGTGTATATTATATAAGGATAAAACGGTATAAAATTAAAGGAGTATGCGTGAGCCTTTTCCTGTATCACTTTGAAATGCTAAACCTGGGAGTCGGCGTGGCTGCTGGCTGAGCACTGCAGCAGAGGGAGATGGATGAGGCAGGTAAAGCGTGTGGGAACACAGCTGGCTCGGCTCTCTCCTAATCAACATCTAATAAAATGTTCTGAGAGCGCATTCCTATAAAGCGGGAGGGGGATTTCAATGACAGTCGCACGGAATTAAAATTGAAACTAACATCATGCTGCACAAATGCACACACATTTATACGGTGCATGCATGCATCACACACACACTCACACACACACGCTCAGATCTATTAGCCTGTTTGTTTCTGCACTGTGTTGATTTCAAAATGTCTGCGCTATAAAATACGCCGACATTTCCAGGAAAAGAGGAGATGCAGTTATTGTCTAGTGCAGGGGTTTCTCAAAGTTATTACTCAAAAGTCCTTTTTATTGAAGGTCAGAGGTCTGGAACTATTGGCAAAAACAAAATGCAATTTAACCCCAAGAATGCCAAAAACCTGCCAGCCGGCTTGAAAGGAGTGAAAATCACCAAAATTACACTCTTTGTGAGAGCTGTGGGAGTTGCAACCTTCTCGTGGTGGTAAAAATAATTAATTAAAAATCACTTCATACATTTAAAATCACCCGAAAAGAAACCTTTAACACCAGATTCTGTAAAAAAAA